TATGCACTGTATGAGTTTATTCACATAAAAAGTTAAATTAAAGACAGAGTTAGGGAACGGAATTTGTTCTTAATCCTGGGACTGTCTGCAATTTTTTTAAAACTGCCTTACCCTCCCTCCAAATGGAAATTTTAGGAAGAAATCTTGAGTTAATTTTGGTGTGAAAAGATTGTGCTTTCAATTCTGGAACTTAAAAGAAATTCTTGGACTAAATATGTGGTTGAAGAATTCACCTGTTACATAACTTTTAAGAGAATATATGTAGCTCAGGGTTGCATAGTGCTCAGTGCATCACAGTGCATCAGTGTGCTGATGATGTTACCTAGTTGGGTAATCAAAAGTCTGCAAATAATCAAACTCAGAGAGCACCAAGAACTCCATAACATATAAGTTATAGCCTAGCCTGTGAACCAATAGTTTGTGCTTGGCTCTGACAGGAAACTTCTAAAACAAAATAACCAAAACCAGAACCAAAACCAGAACCAAAACTTTCCAATTGTTTGCCCACACCTGTTTTAGTGCAGCCTTTTTCAATCTGATATGTTGCAGATATTTTGGACAACCAACATATTTGAGATTCTAGGAGATGAAATCACAATGTTGCCTGAAAGATTCTGGAAATCATACCTAGAGAGCAGCACACTGAGGAAGGCTGTTTTACAGGAGGTGAGTTTTGAAATATATAATTGAATATCTGTGACAAAATGGCTTCCTTCCTCATACTTTATAAGAAATAAAGGCAGATGACCTCTCAACTTGCCCATAACTTCACTGAACCGCAGCCCGGTTCCAAAGGGCTCAAGGCCCAGTAGTGGGCTGCAACCTGGGGGTTGGGGACCCCTGCTTTAGATACATGACTTCAAATCTTAGAATTCTCATCAGGGTCTATGCCAGGGGGTCTTCAAACTTGGCCCTTTTATGACTTGTGGACTTCAACTCCCAGAATTCCTCAGCCAGACATGCTGGCTGAGGAATTCTGGGAGTTGAAGTCCACAAGTCATAAAAGGGCCAAGTTTGAAGACCCCTGGTCTATGCTGTGTCCATCCATGTTGCGGAAGTCTGGATTAGCACATGACAGATGGAGAAAGGAGGATTAAAGGATTAATTGTTTTATTAGGCCAACCTTTTAAATTAAGAATGACTAAACTTAAATGTGTAAGCACATTTAGTATTTGTGGGAGGTCATTATGACTGGATTTTCCTTTTTTTGTGTTCTTATAGGAGAGTTTAGATTTAATTCTGTTTTTGTTTAATTATGCTAAGTATAGGTTGCACATCCTTATACTTTAAAGATGAGCAAGCAGTTAGGGTGATCGTCCTGATTGCTAAAATATTATTTATTTCTTGCTTAATTTATCTTAAAGGCCATGGGAATTCAGATATACTGGTTTTAAAATCAGTAGTTCCAGTGTTTCAAGTAGCTGTCGGGATTCAAAACCCAATTTTTCCTGAACTAGAACAGAATGTAAAATAATCATATATATCAAAGATACAACAGGAAAATAGCTCTTTTCACAGGCCTAAAGAGGAAAAAATGGTCTAAATACACATCTCTTGCTTAATCTAAACCAGAGATGAATGCTAATGTCAACTCTAAGGCGCCCCAAGTTCTTATAAGCCAAGTTGATTTACAAATTTACCTCAGTCCAGTTGCTAACAGTCCAGTCGGATGGGCATGAGATATCCCTATTACACGAAAGACGAGTTTTTGGTTTTAGCAGATGTTGGCATTCTTCCACAGGCAGAGCCTGCTCATCAAATCCCAATGTCTGGATACAAAGGACAGTGCGCTTCTTTTCTCCTGTGGGGCCACAGGTGGTGGAACACTTCTGCCATTCCCCTGCCCACCATCTGCAGAGAAAGCCAGAAGAGAACAAAGAACATGAAGTGAAATTTGAAAATCAAAATCTGAGCATTATTATGGGAGTAGAGCAAAGAGATGCTGAAATACTCATATTCTGAGCCCAGATTTCTCCATTTTAAGTAGCTGGCTTTCAACACATTTTATTCCCTTAAATTGGACTATGGGAAATTGGATGAAGGTAAACTCATGCCAGCTCAGCAACAGCATTTCCTTAATAGCAATCTTTAATTTTCTAGAAGAAATGCTATCTGCTCTCCCACTTATTACCACTGGAAGTGGCTTCCTACTAGTATTTTATATATTATTTTACATCAGCCCCACTAGATAGGCCAGTCCAGAAAATCAGCTCCACAGGAAGACTAGAATTACACTACAGCAGGGGTAGGCAACCTTGGCTCTTTTATGACTCGTGGACTTCAACTCCCAGAATTCCTGAGCCAGCATGGCTGGCTCAGGAATTCTGGGAGTTGAAGTCCACGAGTCATAAAAGAGCCAAGGTTGCCTACCCCTGAACTACAGTAACAGAATCTTTGGCGTCTAATCATGCATTTCTTCCTTTCCTACTTATACTAACATGAATTAGGGAGGTTTCTGTTTGAGATATTTTTTTTGCATTTCTCCTTTATTGTTGAGTTTAAGCAATCTTTCATTCCTGGTTGCTTTGGTAACAGGTCTCCCCTCTCTCCATCAATATCTTCCTCTTTATTCTCCACAACATTTGAACAATCTACATTCAAAAGTGCACATACTGTGAGAAACATCTCCTCCAAAAGTTGCCATCAAACTGTAATTTTTATTATGGCAGAGGAAAGTCATTACATTGGGGAGATGTAGCATATCAGCTGTATTAGTGTACGATTGAGTTTTATACAATTAGGAACCCTGGGTGTATGATAGTACATTATATATAATTAGTATGGTAATTGGCAGAATGTGGGGAATAGAATTTTTAATGTAGTCTCTAGATTAGAGATCTGAGCTTGCATAGAATAATATGAGCATGCTTGGGTTCAAATTGGACTTTGGTTAAGCTTGTGCCATACTAGCCAAAGTATGGCATGCATACACACACACACACACACACACACACAAACACACACAGAGTTTAGTCTGCCCTAGTCTATCACGTATACAATTTAGTCTGTCCTAGGCCCAACAATGACTTTGTTCTGAAGCTGCTTAATTTTTCTGTAGTAGAGTCAATAAAAGCAAAATGTGGCCCTAGATGCTAAAATAGTTCTATATTCTCCTTCCTAAGGACTAGCAATAATCAGTCAATTTTACTTAAATTCCAAGATAAGGGGAAGCGAAGAGGTGAGCAGATCCATTCAGTGTGTGAGCAAATCCATAAATTATGGTCATGTGTTTTGTTCAATGCCTCAGGATGAAAAGTCTACCCAATTTTGACATCATTAATTGGAACTAATACTCCATTATGGCATACTTTGTAAATTTTCACAGTAATTCTATATATTCTTGGACTTTTGCACTGAGAAAGCAAGACCCAGAAACAATGAAACTGAGAAATGCAGACTGAAAATAATTTAGGCTTCATTTTTATATGACAGACATTTTGCAATGGGAAATTGAAGGTGCTTCTGCACAGTTGATTAATTATAATACGCTATATCTTTGACATTTTCTAAGAAGTCTGCTTAATCCAGCTCCATATATTAATGTTAAGCTTTAAGCTTTTTTAAATCCATGCAAGTTTGGTAGCGAATATTTTACCAATTATTTGCCTCCTATGTATTAACTTCTGTGTGGGAGCTGCTCTAGCCTCACTTTCAAAACCTTAAAATGGTTAGTGCACCCAAAGCCAAAATGGTCATCCTATGCGACTTACTGCTCCCAACTTGCAT